AGTTTGCTTTTTCGTTGTATATATGTATGAATGTATGGATATACATATGTACTGTATTTACGTTTTATATGAATGTGTAGGTACATAGCGATGGTCCTCTGTAATAACGGCACGATTCAAAATTAAAAGAAAAAAAATTAAAACTCTACTGCTCATCCTTGTCTAATCCAGTAAGTTGTAAGGATTCGACAAGGATTAGAACATCTAGCAGTTATAATACACATATATACATACATTTAGAATCATACATACACACTATATCGTGTCGTATTCCTTTATTTCGTCCTTGAATCGCAATCATACAATTCAATGTACATAGTTTCGAAATATTTTAAGTTTGATCTTAACTAAGATTTGCATACATATACATACATATATAAATGTATTTACATATAAATGGATATGCATAACGCTTACATATTTATATATGCGTGCAAGCGTATAGGTGCGAATGAAAATATACCGTAAAAAACAAGAAAAGTTTACTAAACAGCAATAATATTGTAGGTAAAATAACGGTTCAATAAAATAAAATAAAACTATTTGTTTAATTTGTGGCCACAAGCAAGTGGTTGGAGTTGTGTGTTGTGGAGTAGATTGAAGTGGAGTAGTAGAATGGAGTGTAGAGAACAAATATTCGCTTTCGACATACTACATTCATACATATGTACATATGTACGTATGCGCATATTTAGGCATATGTACATTCATATGTAAGTATTTACGCACACGCACGAACTTCTTTTGCACTCTACGTGTGCTATAAAGGCTATTTATTCTGTAAGAAAAAAATTAAAAAATATAAATAATAAATTAAAACGAAATCGAAGTAAAAAATAAATTGGTTAGCTAATTGATATTATGTGCAATTACTTTTAAAACAAAGATGTGCATGTGCGCAAGCTTATACATTCGTTTCATTTTGCTGCGAACACAGACAAAAGGTCCATTGCGAAAGAAGCAGTGCTTTTTATTTAAATACGATCTTAGCGCGTTTGGTTACTTTTTAAACAATGTAAATATACACAAATAAGTATAGAGTGCAGCAAATATTTTATAGGCATATTTTTACATGTGTAATTCAGTACGTATGTATGCATATTCATATTTACATATGTGAGTACATGTTATAATATTTGATTATGGTCACTGTTACACAAACAGACATGCCAAGGACGATTAAAACAAAGATGCGGTTATATTAATGCACGTATAGATGTATGTTTATGTATATGTTGGCACGGGTAGTATTTAAGAATAATTAAGGAACCTACTTTGCACGATAAAGCTTCGCATCGCTGAAAGGTATGTGAATCAAAGGAAAAACGTGGTCGATCTTACAATATGTCGGCCTATAGAAGTTAATGCTCCGAGTTGCACTTTTTTTTTTGTTTTGAGGTAGTGAAGCTCCTAAAAATTCTGTGCTAACGCTTGAAATTTTCGGAACCGTGACCATGCATCAGTTAACAAAATATTTTTGGAAGGCAAAACTGAATGAATAATAAAACGTTCGCTATTGGGCCGTATGAATAAAAACTAAGCAATTGCTTTTTCTTAAAATTTCATACCTTTTACTTCAATTTTGTTTGAATAAATTGAGTAAAAGATCTGAAATTTTAAGAAAAAGCAATTGCTTATTTTTATTCATACGGCCCATTGTTGTTGGTAGGTAAAACAGGTCTACAAAATACCAAAACGCAAGCCGCGAATATTAGGTTAGCCTGGGATCATTTTGCGGACTCTGCATGACTTACAACCATGCAGAGTTGGCAAACGAACTTTGCCATGGGCCACAGTACCTACCAACCATTTTTGAACCAATAAATATTTTTTTTTATATAAATACATACATGCAAACAGTGTTGCCAAACATGGGCTTTTCCTACCAAAACTGGTAGGTTTTTTTCCATTTGGTAGGTTGGTAGCCTTTCTGCGGTACATCTAAAGGCCACACTGCAGACCTACTTAGGAGCTAGCTGGGAATAATCTCAAATTGCTGCCCACTGGCGGAAGTCAAAGGGAATATGACAATCAAAGATATGCATAACTCTTTCCGGCAGGGACTCCGAAAGACACCTTGAACCTAGAAATCTTACTGGCAACGTGACAGCACACTGCTAGTTAAAGTGCGGTTTTAATTAAATGGGTCTTTCTGTAGAGACGGACTGTAGGGTTTGTCGGATGGTGAAAGAAACCCATTCTATGTGCCTGTCCACGAAGCATGAATCGTAGATTGATACACCTTGGAGACGATTGCCTTCTCCATCTAAAATTTGGAATATGGCCTCATCCAAAGTGCTGAGTTTTTTAAACAGCCTAAGGTTGGAGTGAATACAATTTGGATTTAGCATAATATATCTTCTTAGGTCGCAGCGCGGGTATCTTCGACGTAATAATAATAATATTGTCACTAGACACGAATAAAGTGCTCGAAAAAACTCTTTGGGGAGTTCTTGGGAATACTGTTGCACTCGAAAATATAGTTGACCGCGGACATAAGTATGGGTCTTTCTTCGCTGTCAAAGAGGTTGACGCGGCTTTATTTGCCGTCGCCTATGTTAAGTCTTTCTTCGCCGAAATTGATTTTACGCCTCTTTTTTCGCTATCAACTTTTGAGCTCGCGTCTTTATTCGTATCTAGTGACGATATGTCTGTATGTGTAATGAGACATATGTACGTATGGATAAGTCTGTACAATAAAATGAATCGTTATACGCAGTTAATTTGTTTTTATTAATCTAGTTGTGTTTTAGTTTTACTAAATGTTATGTTAACTATGTTTTTAAAAAAATTGACATTGAAAACAAATATTAAAACTCAAAAAAATGTTTTGTTTGTTGGTTATGGTAGGACATTTTGGTAGGAAAAAAAATTTGTCTGTGGCAACGCTGCATGCAAACATGCTGGTCTCCCCTCTCACTGAGTTATTCACCCTCTTTTCAAACAGAGTCATCAAATTTAGCTCATGACTGGTGTGATTTCTAGTGCGCCGCAAAATCTCGCACAAAAATTTCGATTTTAAGTACTAGAAAAATACACAAAACCTTAAAAATTTGTATTTAAGCGGCATATCTGTTGCTGGGGCAAACTTTGAGGCGCAATAAAAACAGCAGTGATGAGCTAAGATTTGTGACTATGATTAGAATACGGCTGTAAGTTTTTCATTACTGTTGGTAGCTGAATCTGAAAGTGGGAATTTTGTTGCCCCAGAAGAGTTCTTCAAATTTTTCTCATCACAACCTCATTCAAAAATGGCTTGCGGTTGAAAGAAATGTGTGTATTCGGACGAAATCAAATTTTTCTGCTTTTCTATTCAACAATTTTTATTGAGCTCGAGGCCGTTTTTTAATGAAAACTTATTGTGGAAAAGCAACAATAATTGGAAAAATGGTAGAAGTGATAGCTATTTCGGAAATCACCAAATTTCCTTATCAGACTTCTTTCAGCAGGATTCGAACCGACGATCACCACTGACTCAGCCAGTTGCCTACGCACTTTGCTAAGTAATTCTTGTTGCTTATTTCCACTATTTTCACATGATGAGCCAACTACAATCAAGCGCAGCTATTCCGCTGCAATTTACTTGATCATGTGGTTGTTGGTTTTGTTGGTTTTTGTTAATATTTCTATTATTAGAATGTTTAACTTTTAGGTGTGCTCGCCCTTAAGTTATTTGTTTTTGTTATTTTATGGCCTTATAACAATTATATTCAACAATTTTTATTGAGCTCGAGGCCGTTTTTTAATGAAAACTTTTTGTGGAAAAGCAACAATAATTTGAAAATTATTGTACTAATTCACTAATTCCATATTCAGACGTCGGGAAGTGCAAGCCACAATTTTTTGGAAACCCTTTCTAAAGATTACGCCTCATTTCTTGATATTTAAATATAAAGTGGTTTTTGAGCCATCTTTTAGTCGCCTGCCATAACAGGTGTTGCTTATAAGTCCATTAGTACGTTTAAAGTCCATGATTGCGGAAGTTTGTCTTAAATAATGAACATAAGTGAATGTTGTTGTGATTTACATAGAGTGAAACATTCAAAAGACTCAGAATTTTTCGTTAGCGCATTTTTGCTGGAAAATTACAACAACACCATTTCCAATCGGATATCATTCCATGATTGCAAATAGCTCACGGATACATCACAAATCTATCTCCGTACATAAGCGATTATTGCAAACGACCTCAGTGATATGTATTCAATTTCCTTTTTAGTTTTTCTGTTAATTTCCTAAATATGTATTGAAATAAATTTCCTACAATTATGGGTTCAAGTTAATCGATAAAGGAAATAATTAATAGGGGTATTCTCGGAGTCTTGCAAAGCCTTTGCACGGATTGCACGATAAAAACCGGTTTTCGTATGGGACAGCTTTGCGAACCATGCAATCCGTACACCGTGCAAGGACTTTGCAAGACTGCGAGAATACCCCTAATGAAATTCAATATTATTGCTGTATTTCAATGCTATGTAATTTTTAGACAAAAAAAAATGTCGACAACTTTTTTATTAAATAACATTATATTTATAACGGCAAAATACTAACTACTGAAGAATAGAGTCGCCTAGAAGTAGTATAACCATTCAATATGAAGTATTATTGAACATATCGCTCATTTGCTGGAAGTGTGCCATAATCCTAATATTTCATTAGAAGAAAATGTGTTTTCATTTTTACTATGGGAGCGTATGTAAACCGAAAGCTTTATTACCGTTTTTCTCGTGTTTTTGATTTTTTGAATTGTGACACTCTTGCAGCATATGACTGATAACATACATATGCACATAGCTAATAAACCGGTGCTACTTGATGTTTGTTTAATAAAATATAAACATTTATACATAGGTTAAGAACAATTAAGGTGACGAACAATTAAGAAAGCAGTAAAAAAGCGTGAAGATCACAAGCTAGCTTTAGAAGAAAAGCTTTTAAGCCAATTAGAAAAGAAAATAGCAAACTTAGTAAAAAATAAAGCTCAAAAAAGTTAAGCTTACACCAAACCCGATATTCCTGACATCGAAGCATGACTGGAAAAACGAAAGATTCGGGTTAATCGATTATTACGACAATATAACAATCCGATAAATATAGTAAGTGGGATTGAATGTTATGTATTACATAAGTACATGTGTCACTAAGTTGAAGCGAAGAAGTGCGTACAAAAATATTTGAAATACCAATTTTGGAATATCTCTTGAAAATTACTTAAAATTACACTAATGCTGGATTTCCACTAGGCATTAAATGGCAAAAATTTCAAGTTGGGCAATAAATAATAATCGTGTCATTACGTCCAAAATATAGTCATTAAGTTCATTTCCATATGGCCTTTTTTTAAATGGAATTAATTAATAAAAATTCGGCGTAAATGGCAATTAAAAAATAGTTTACAGATTTTATTCTTATGTTTTTTAGTGTAGAATGAACTATATTTTAGTAAATTATCGAAAAAATTACATTAAAAAACGTTGCATATATTGCGAAAAATTCACTGTGCCAGTACTTGTGTTCGTTACTGTACATAAGTAAAAGTGTCAGTATGCAGCAATTTGCTTCTAATAGTAAAATTTGAAGAGTCTCAGATTTTTCGATGCGCTGGTCGAAAGCAAAAATTTTCGATGCAAACAAGTGTCTAATTCCAATCCATCAAATTTTAACCGGTTAAGTATTGGTTCTTTTCAGAAAAATGGCCGTCCTCTTACGGCAGAGTAAGTTACCAGCAAATATATAGAATATGTCTCAATTTATAAAAGAAAAAAACTTTTGGTTAACAGTCAAGATTATTCGTCAATTGAGTTCTGATATTTTTCAGTATTTTTCATCTTGCCTAAAGCTATAATGAATGTATGCATGTCACAACTCACATATGTATGATAATACAATAATTGCAATCATTAAGCTTACTTTTTACCTCGCTTTTATTAGCTTGGGATGTAACTATGTAATAATGATGCGCCTAAAAGTTGCAGCGATTTCCATTCTCAAGTTACGTAGCGAGTTTTAAGTTTTAATTAAATTATAATAACTTGTTATTGTGAAATTGTTTTCTCAACGCGCTAAAAACAATAAATAACTTTTTATTATTGTTTATTCAAGAATGAAAAATGTTTAGTTCAAGCAATAAGCTAATCAATAGTAGCAAATGTAAACCAATTCATATTTTTATTTGGTTATTTTCATTATTGCAAATTAAGGCAGACATTTTCCCGAAAATTTGGATAAAGTATATACATACATATGTAAGACTGCAGTTAGTTCAAATATTTATCTACCATAACATTTGCTAAATGATTGGCACAAGTTATTTAAAAATAATACTCTAAAATTTGTATTACGCACTTCAACTTAGTGAGCACCCGGCAATAAAATATTGACTATCGTAGTT